GAGATTGAGATTAGGGGAGGAGGAGGGAGAACAGAGGAAGCAGGAAAAAGAGAGAAAGACGAGGGGAAAGAAGGAGGAGGGGGAGAAGAGGAGAAAGGAAAGAAGAAGAAGAATAGCAAGTGGAAAAAGGAGAAGGAAGAGGAGAAGAGAAAGAAGAAGGAGGGAGAGGAGGAGGAAAGAAGAGAGCAAGGAGAGCATCTCTGCCCACTGGGCACATGAGCCTTGTGGTCCCCTGGCCCCGCCCTGAGGCTGGAGGCCAGCGTCTCCTGCCTGCAGGTCCTGCCCTCCCTGAGCCACCATGGCTGGCAAGGACCAAGGCACAGTGGCAGGAGACAGAGGCCACAGGGCAGGGTGAAGGGCTGCAGCCAGCGGAACAACTTCATGAGGACAAGTAGGCCGATTTCCCCAGCTGGGAGGGTCTATCAGGAGCCGGGTGTCCATTCCCATCCTTTCCTCAGTGCTCACATGAAGGCCATGAGCGCAGTCCCCACCCACAGTCCCAGGAACCCACACTGACACTGTTGGAGGAGGCCTGGAGGGGTGCAAGATGTCTAATCTGGGGACTTATGGTCCAGCTGCGTGGTATCAGAGGAGCCCACGGCCACAGGACAGGTGGACACTTCAGCCGCTGCCTCACACATGCAGAAGCCCTGCACAAGAAACCCCCAGCCCTGTCACCAACAACATCTCCTCAGAATTTACAGAACACATAAACCAACTGAAGCAGAGTCCCCTGTTTTAATAGCCAGGGAACTTGTATCAAGACAAGGTGGAGGTTGGACCATGAAATGGAACAGATTAAAAAGAACTGAGATGATACAGAGTACACTGGCCTACAGCAACAAAATTAAACTAGATATCAGCAAGAAAATAATAACAGGAAAATCTCCAAATGCTTAGAGGCTATGCAGTCCTGTTTCAAATATTCCATGGATGAAGTCTTGAGAGAATTGTTAAAAATATATCTATCTAACAGAATGAAAATATAGCATATAAAATGTGTGAGATGCAGTTGGCACTGTACAAAAAGTAAGAAAACAGAGAAAGTTTGAAATGAATAAACTGAGCTTCCCCTGCAGAAGTTGAGAAACAAAATCAAAGTAAGCAAATATGAGACAGTGACAAAAGGGAGAAATCCATGGAATTGATGGAAGAAAGGATAGAATCAATGAAGCGAAGACGCGGCTCTTTGAAAATATCAATAAAAATGATAAAGACTGACAAGGGATGAAAAGAGAAAAGACAGAACGACCAATATCGGGACTAGAACAGGAAGTAGATTTACAGACATCAACATGACCCAGTGTGAATGCTACTCACAACTCTCACAAATGGACACGAATATTGACATGGAATGGACCAGCTCCTCAGAAAAACACAAGCCACTGCCGTTCACCCAGCGTATAATTTGAATAGGCCTATCAGAGAAGTGAATTTGTAATTTAAAATCTCCCCATAATGAAGCTCCCAGTCCCAGATGGTTTCACTGAAGAATTCTACCAAATGTTTTAAGGAAAATTAGCAGCAACTTTACACAGTTTTGCCCAGAAAATAGAAGTGAGAACACGGCCTAATTTGTTTTATGAAGTTAGGGTTACTGATACCAAAGCCAAAGTCTGCAACACACACGTGTGCACTCCAAAGACAAGGGACAATGAAACCCACCCGGGAATGTAGGGAGCTCAGCAATAGATGGACAGAATCACCCTCTGTAGCCAACTGGGTTTCTTTCCAGAGAGCAGAGCCAGCTCAATATTTGAGAATCAATCAAGGTAACCCATCAGTCTTAATAACCCTAGAGAAGAAACACTACATCATCTTATCCATGGATACAGGAAAAAGATTTGATAAAAAAAATTAAATACCCCATGGTGCAAAGTCTCTAAGAAAAATAGAAATGGAGAGGACCGTTTGACTTGGTAAGGAACATCTTCAGCAGGCCTACTGCTAATTTGAGGTTGAAAACTGAGTGTTTAACTCCTATGGTCAAAAGCGAGGCAAGGACATTTGCCTCACCACCAACCAGCAAAGTGGGGGAAGTTCCGGCAAGTGTAACAAGGCAAGAAAGGAAATAAAGAGGCCAACAGATTGGGAAGGAAGAAATGAACCTGCACCTGTTTTCATGAGCCATAAATGTCAGCTTACAAAACCCCAGGGAATCTACCAAGAAGAGAGAAACTTGCAGTAGTGATCCATGAATTCAGCAGAGTCACAGGATACAGCATGAACTTAAACAAATCTGGTGCATTTCTGTACACTAGTAATGGATTCTGAAATGAAAAATACAATAACATTTACAAATATGAGTACAGCATTTCTGAATACAGAATATCATTACATAAATGATACAGCAGTTAGGTTTAAGTCTAGCGAAACATGTAAAGAAGGTGTGTGCTAAAAATCAGAAAATTGTGACGAAAGATATCCTAGAAGAGGAGCACTATGGCGTGTTTATGGAGGAGGAGATGACACAAGAAATCACCAACTTAGTAATAATCAAACACCACTAGTCCATTCCGCCCAAAATGACATACACATTAGAAGCAATTTCTATCAAATCACAGCAAAATATTTTATAGAGACAGAGGATTAGAAGTACTGTTCTAAAATGTCCATGGTAGGCAGCGACACTGAAGTGGCCAGAAGGGTTCTTATAAAGAATGTGGTGGAGGGGAATCAGCCCATGGTGTTAACGTCCTGTCACAGAGTTAGAATAACCAAGGCTGTGTCGAGGGGAGACCCAGCAATGAATGGAGAAGAAAGAACCCAGAAAGAGAGCAACATAAACAGACACCACAGCTCTGGGAGAAATGAATATGTCCCCAGATTGGCAGCACACATGACCCCTCCACCGGTGTTAATAATTCTTTACTTTCCTACACAATTGATATCCTCTTGGTGATTATTTTGTAGGCTGCTAACCTTGAAGGAAACTCATTCTAGGTCCACATGATCTTTCTGTTTTGTTTCTTGCAACTTCAGGGGAATCTAAAGTGATCTCCAAATTGAAAGCTAAATTTGAAATATTAAAGGTGATAAGAATATGTCATTTATGTGTGTGTTGTATGGGGGTGACATGTTAGGAATCCTGTACGACACATTCTGCCATTTGCATTACTCTGTTAATAGTGATAACTGTCCTGCTTCGGTTGCACCTCATGTTTATATTGAGATGGACTCTGATAGAGGATGGGAAACGCACATTGGTGCCCCTGGCTGCTTGCCTGGCCCTGCAGTTCAGGTTGTATTGGGGTCCGAAAGAAGTCAGGATAGGGTGGTGATCTTAGAGCTGCAGAGGAGCTGAGGGATCCCAGTGGGAATGAAGGGCGGGTTCTGACGGAGAGTGAGAAGGCAGCACAGACCGTTGGAGATGAGGGTCAGAGCTGGGAATGTCTTGGGGATAGAGTACTTCTGAGTGTCTGCACCAGAACCACTGGAGTCCTGGAACAGGAAGTAACTGGAGGAATTTGGACAAGATCTCTCTTCCTTAATGCCAGTAAAATGGCATTTGGGGAAATAGGAATGACACCAAAAGTTAATACCTGGTTCTCACAAGAGTGGGTGGTTATACCTGCCAGAGTGTAAAGTAGTCTACAGAAACTGAGCACAGCTCCAGAAGTGAGTTGCAATAACTAGCTCCCAAAGCCATGTGGGCTTGGAATGGGACTGTAGGACTGCATGTGGAACGCCTGACATTTGGAGTAATTCCTTTTGGTCTGCAAAGAACTTTCATGTATAGGACATCACACTATACCAGGGAGATCAACTTTACCCCACTTTTATCAATTAAAAAAATGAAACTCCAGGACATTAAATAGCTGGCCAGAGTCCACAAGGATCCGGAGAGTCTCATGAAGGTGTGTGGATCTTTCCCATAAAGGGTCTCCAGCACTGTGGTCCCTAACACAGAAGGCATAGAGAAGCCAAACCCTTAGATCAAGGCTTCTCGTCTCAGCCCTGTGGATGTTTGAAGCAGAATAATTCCTCATGGTGGGAGCAGTACAGAGCGCTGTAGAACATTCAGTGATGTCTCTGTCCACTGTCCCTCCCAGATGTGACAAGAGCCTTTCCAGTGTCTGGAAAGGCAGGATCACTCTTGTCGAGAACCACTGCCCTGGATTGCGTAAGAGCTGTGGGTATGTAACACTGGATAGGCAATGTGTAGTGTCATTCTCGGGGTCTGCCCAGCCCTCTCCTCTGCCACCATCTAGGCTTTCTGGTCATGCTCGGGGGATCAGGTATCACTGGTCAGCTGGCCTGCTCAGGACTAAGGACAGACACTGGTGACACTGACAATGTGTGCCCCAAGGTATTTCTGCAAGAAGCAGATGTTGGGACTCGTAAGCCTTTTTGATAGGCACTTGCCCAGTCTGGCTTTGCACGAACTGATTGGGAGCTCATGCTGAGCTCTGACAGAGAAGGAGCAGAGCCATGTCTGTCCCAGAGATCCCATCCCTGCCCACAACGGATACCGGGAAAAGCAGCAGCAAAGTGACTTTCCAGTGTAAGTGTATTGGAGTGTGAACTGTGCTGAAGAAAGCCGTCTGTGGGTAATGCAGAACTCACTGTTCCCTGTTTCATGTTAAAGACTTGGAACTAACTAGCTGTGAAAGGATCTATCAAAACCCTCTTCATCAGGGGACCAAGGGGCTTCCCAAAGGGAAGTCCCACTTCACACCCAAGCGGGCAGAGTCCTTCTGCTTGGGTCAGCAGTTTTCTGAGTGAGTTGGGGTCCGCAGGAGTACAGGGGACCCCACGGACATGAGCCTCTGCTCTGTGGGCCTAAACGCAGGCATCGGGAGCAGAATGGGAAGGGAGCCTCACTGTGTGCGGATGCGAACACGTGGGGAGGGCCCGGGCTCCACGCAGTGTGCGCTCCCATCCCTGAAGCACTTCATGAGTCACTGAAATCTTCAGCTGAATCAGGTTGCTCTTTAAAGGAATGTATTTTCACGGCGATGATTAATCCTTAGTAATCGTGCTATTCTCTCTTATTATAGGTAATGTATGAAATTGCTGGAGCAATTGAAAAAAATAAAGACTCTCTTTCACAGAATCTTCTATTTGTAATGAAAAGTAAGTTGATTTTCCCCCTACCCTGGTTTAAAGACCATCCATTCTTTATTTCTCTACTTCTGAATATTTTCCTATAAAATATGCTTCCGGCTAAAGAATAATTGAAATATCTTTTACATTCTGTTGCCCAGAATAATAAGGAGTGGGTCTTGCCACACTGTACATTCATTACAATTTAATTTGGAGTCCAGAAGAAACCATAATTTAACTAAGCTTTTAGCAGAATGTAAAACACCTTTACTCCTTCAGTGGTGTGAATACAGAAAGGCTTTTCTGTGAAGACTAATGAAGATGAATATGGTTTCTAAAGTTATTTAGGCCACGGAAGGGTGAATTTCATTACTTAAGATGACTCTGGAGCACAGCGAGGGACAGTATTTTATTCTTATGCACTTCTGTTATAAAGTATTAATGCCCACTAAGTCAAAGGAGCTGAGAAATTTATATGTGTATGTACATACATATGTGTATTTATATATACGTATATAGATAGATAGATAGATAGATAGATAGATAGATAGATTTATCAGCTACTACTTAGCAGGGATTAATACTTTATATATATAGACTATATTTTTATACCATATATGAAACTATAGACTGTTTATATGTACTATAAATATATATGTGCACACACATATACAATTCTGTCTTGCAGTAATTACTTTCTTACTAGCAGTTCTGCAGTGGCTCAGGCTGTCCCAAGAAGCTCTGCGATGCATTAGAGAACCCAGTGTTTGGTGCCTATGCAGCTCCAGGTGAGCCAGGGCCTTCTTCCTGGCTGGAAGCAGAGGCATCGATGGCTCTCACAAGGCAGTCAGATGTGCCTGCTGCGGCAGCACATCTGCCATGGAGAACAACGCGCTGGCCTTGAATCCAGCAGCTCAGCTGGAGGCCGTGGCTTCTCAAGGCTGTGGGCTGCGTGCCTCGCAGACCGCATGTCTACCACAACTCCGTGGAGCTGCGGCTATGCTGAGAGTGTGGAGTGGGGGAAGCGTAAAGCAATGAGGAACTGAAATATATAAATGAAGAGCTCCTGTTTATGAGCATTGGACAAAACGTCTTCCAGTTTGTGGGTTTTTAACTCCACTTTTCATGCACCTTTTCCTTGAGTCTTACCTTTCATGAAGGTTGAGTGTGGGGCACGTTTTAGAAAGGGCACTTCCATAGGTTTGTATCTCCTGGCAATCCAACATGCATACCCACAGATGTGTATTTAGAATGAGATATGGTGACCAGGGCATTGCAGCTTTGCTTAAGACAGTACCAAAATTTTAAAGACAACTTTTGTGTGCATTTACTAACCAGTTCCAAGAAAACACACGCGATTATTGTTGTTTTCTAAACAAAACTACAGAATTTACAATGTGCTTTTATATGTATTTATTTTTGCTGTTTATTTGTTTGTTTGTTTTGCAGTGCTAGGGATTGAACCCAGGGCCTCATGACCTTGTGTGTTTGTACAGGAGGTGAAGACTGTTTGCTTATAAGAGCAGAAAATAACTGCTTTAGCCTTTGTCCTGTTTAGAAGGAATCACCTCTGCTCCTATAAAGTGAAAACAGCTCTGCGTAATACAAGTGGCAGAGCTGTGTTCCACAGTAACCTCGCTCACAGCCACATGGCATAGGCCGTATTCAGCCCACGGCTGGAGCTGCTCATCCACTCTACTGTACAAGCAAAAGATGCCAGGTCATGACACTGCTTTATGAATCTGTGAGGTATTTTTGCCACAGAAAGTTATTACCAGCAGTAGAACTGATGAATGACATAAACATCTGTCTCTAAGCGCTTTGTTAAGCACTTTGCTTACACTGTACAATTCAGTCTTCCCATCGTCCCAGACCCAGCTGAGAAGGAGGAAGGGCTACTGTGGGGTCCCTCCAGGCCAGCCTGGGTCCAGCAGTGCATCACCAAGTGATGTCAGGGGTCTGGGAGACAGGACCGCAGAGGCTGCAGCTGGTGCACCCATTTGTGTCTGAGAGTAAAAACTACCTGACCCAGAAAGAAGAGCCTGTGTTCAGACTTTACATCTGCTCGTGAGAACGGGGCAGTGTAGATTTACTGTCAACAGTGTGAACAATGTCTTGAGTCCTTTCACTGTGTCTCTGCATGCCTGATTGGAACTCATGGACACTGAAGATAACTTATCCCACTGTAAGGTGGAAAGGTTCTCTGTGTGATGACCACAGGTGTCAGCAAGGGACAGGAGCAAAGTGGTCCCAGGGACCCCTTACAAAAGGAGAGAAAAGCTAACACTGCCTCTTTAGCAGAATTCCCTCATCAGGCACTAAGCACCAGGACAGCAGGATTCCTCTTTCTGTGCCACAGGGAGCCTGCTTGCTCCTGCTATTCCTGCAGAGGTAGCTGGGTGCTGTGGCAATAGGATGACCAAGTCCAGCTGCCTCTGTGACTCGGAGGAAGCACAGAAGTGGATCAGCTCTCTATTTTGGTCCATACACTATTTATGTCTAGAGTTTTCCATTTTTATTAAAGGACATTTTTCCTCAGTTAGAGGAGTAATATGTTGCAGTATGTATCTGTGGGCCTATTTCATATACCAACCTGTTAGAGATGTAAATGATGAGTATTTAATTATTTTTATTTAAATGGGCTGTGGGATGTGCTTGTTGTTTAATGTTTCTTTTGAAGTGCCTTCAAACTTAAAGAGCAGTTACAAAATTAGTGCAGAGAGCAGCCAAGTGCACTATTCCTCAGATTTATTTTCCATCACCATTGTTTTCCTCTCCCTCTGTCTGTCCTCCTCTTTTCCCCTCTGTGCATGGACATTTCCTGTACCATCTGGAGTAAGTCGCCTGCCTCTCTGATGCACATAGTGTTGTAGCAGAAAATGCCCCTCCCTGCCCCGCCACTATACTTCAGTTTCTTAGTTGCCCAGGTAACAGTTCCTGTTGCAGTTCTGGTTGCTTCTGGTCTCCTAGAAACAGCTGGTCACTACGATGCACATTGTATAAGCCAGTCCCCAATTGACAAGCCATTCTGCCTCTGTACTTCCTCCTTGCTTATCCAGTATAAGCCCAAGACCACCACAGACCAGGGCCTGATATTCTGGGAATGATCCCAATAAGTGCCTGTCAACGTAAATAAATCTGCCTCCAAGCCCTGGCTGTGGTTTCAGTGTTTCTGCTTGCCGTTGCAGTGTGAGTGAGGGCATTATCTTACATGAACTCGGGAAATTATCAGAATAGTGATCTTTAAAATAAGACTGACGCCAGGTATAAACAAAATACAGTTCATGTTTAGAAACATTTCATAGTGAAAGGCACGCTGCCGTGAATCTCCCTCCAAACCCTCCCCTCAGTCTGAATGCACTCATCCCATCATTCTGGCCACTTCCTGCAGCAGCTCCAGAGTCCTCTTTCCTGAGGGTCTTTAGTTGTGCTCTTGTGGCTGTCTCAATGACCTGAATGATTTAAAAATGTTTCCCTTTCATGGTCATTTTGACTTTGGGGAGGAGCCAGAAGTCACACGGTGCCAGATCTGGTGAATAAGGTGGATGAGGACCCAATGTCATGTTTTTACAAGCTGCCTTTCCGCTGGAGGGCACGTGAGACTATTCACCAAATTTGTGATCTCACCTTTTAAAGACACTCAGAAAGACAACTTCCAGGTTTGCTTCAAGAAGTGCCAAGAACAATGCGATACCCGTGTTCAAAGCAGGAGAAAGTATTCTGAGCGGGATGTATGATGATAGGCATTTTACTGTAATAAAGTTTTAAATGTAAACATTCACAGTATATTTTTGTCATAGCTCCTGTGTATCCTTGAGTTCACACAAAAATTTAGCAGGTGTCCCACTAATGTTTTCTATAGTGATTTCCAGCAATTCGGGATCATTTATTTCTGCTACCATTTCTTTATGAATTTCTTTCATTTTGGGCAGTTCTCTAGCTTTTCTTTGGTTTTCACTACACCAATAATCTTTCTTTAAAATTAAAGGCTGGTTGTTTTGTACAATTTGTTTTGCATAATTTGTTTTCACCATGCTCCTCAAATTCGTAATGCAGAATCATTCATCCAAGCCTTGGTTTCTCCCTGAGAGGTCAAGAAAGGAGTCTAGGCCCAGAACCATTTACATAACGTAGTATCTGAAGTGTACCAGCTCGCTTTACCTCTGTGGCTTACCTGGGTCATAAAAGGAATAGTTTCTCCTCTTTCTGTCCAAACGCGTGGAGCAGCCAGAGAGACAGGGCCTCCCATGGGTGTTTACCATTCTGAGATAGACTGGATTCTGGATTCTGGAGATGGCTTTCCTGGGTGGTGATTTCCTAGAATGAGAAGTTGCTGACAAAAAATATAAGTCTTCATGAGTCAGCCCGTGCACAGAAGCCTATTATGTCTGAGCAGGAAGATTCAGTGCCTGCTGCCAGGAGACTAAAGGCCGGGAGCTCAGGGGGAGGACCTGGGGTCAGGACTGTTGGCTAAGGGTAAATGAAGGTCGGCTCTGTCCTGGTGTAAAGGTGGAGGGAATAAATAGGGCCGTGGGGAAGGAAGGGCTCCTCATCACTGCACCGATTACATTTTCCATCCAGAAGGCTGTGTAGGGGCTTCTAAGAGGAATGCATTTGATATTCACATTCACACGGCTCACAACGCTCCTTTCTTCTTTCCTAGCTAGTGAAAATGTTGTGATCAATCATTTGTTCCAGTCAAAGTTGTCACAAACAGGATCCCTGATATCGTCCTACCCTCCCTGTAAATTCCGAGGACACAAGGCGGCCTTGCTCAGCAAGAAAATGACGGCTTCGCCGGTTATCCGGGAAAACAGGAATTATCCAGAGTTCAGTAAGGTGGGTGCTTCGGCAATGCTTTCTTTTCTCTGTATTTAAGTGTGCTTGTATGTTTTCTTTTTTTAAAAAGCACAATTTTGAATACTAATTGCAGTAATATTCTTAAAGAGTTAAAGAAAATGGTGTTCTCCACTCTTCGTGGCCCCTGAGAGGGGGGCACGCGGGAGAGGGCTCTTCAGGGAAGAGTCCGTAGCCACTGCCATCTTAGCAATTCTGCTGGGCGTCTGTGTGACATCCTATTTGTGTCTCATCTCGGTGAGTGTCCTTGTGATGAATGGAGAGAAACTTCGGGGCCAGAGGCTGAGAGGAAATAAACTTCGCAGCCTTATCCTGCTGATATTAATCATGTCTGAGGTTTTGGGTCTCTGCACAATAAATTGTTGTTTTTTGATAGACAGAGCCTATTTTTCAGGTGCCTTGGTATTTCCAATGTGTGCTGGTAGACCTTTTCCTTATTTTCAGGTCATACCAATTTTTTAATGTATTTATCCCACCTAAATTTGAACATGCACGTAACCTGAAGATTCTACTTCCAAATGAGAACCACAAATACAGCAAAGAGTTATTTCAAAGGAGAGGGTGATATACATGAAGTCTTTTAGGTTTCTTAAGAATCTGTGCCAGATTGTAGGTTACTTTCAAGCCTTTTTTCTTTTCTTTTTTTCTTTTTGCTTATGTCAACGAAAACTGTAGAATTAGAACTGGTAAGGTGCTCAGGACAATCAGTTTTAGAAATGCAATTGCTGCAGCGGCTTGCTGGAATATATCTTAGCTTTAGCTTTTCAATTAAAATAAAAGCATAATTGAAATTAACTCTTTTATAAGACTGGCAGGGGTGTGCGCACGTGTGTGTGTGTGTGTGTGTGTGTGTGTGTGTGTGTGTGTGTGAGAGAGAGTATGTGAGTGTGTCCTCACCAGCAGGTCCTGGAATTAGGGAGCCTTTGATGTGCTTCTTCTGGAAGTGGGTGATCACAAGAGGACGATCCCAGTGCACAGCAAACAACCTCCTTTGCATAGAAAGACTGAGGGCTACAGTTGGAAGGACGCGCTCTGTCCCTGGGGGTCTTGTGCACTTCCCGGCCCTTCTTTTCCCAATCATCTTGCAGATCAAGAGCAAGAAATCTCGGCACACCTCTAAACTGTAATTTTTATCCTCAATTATTAAACATTCTGAGGCCTAGATGCCATTAGTCTTTTCCCAAAGGAGCGCAAAAGGGAGATAATTCAGTCGCTCCTCCACTCAGAAAGGGAAATAGAGTGTTCAGTTTCAAGGGTGGAGATTTATTATGATTCTTCCTTAAGTGTTCCATCCCTCATTCCCTTGTTTGCTCCCTTCAAGCAGCTCTCATCCCCTGTCCCTCCCCCCACACACACACACTGAGGCTCGGAAAATGGACTTTTACCTGTTCTTTAACTGAGTGTTACGCTCAGCCAGAGAACAGGCTGATCGCGGCACTGGCTTTATTTGACATCCTCTCGACACTGGGAAGTCATCTCTTAAGCTCCGCAGCTCATCCTCCTGGAAGGAAAGGAGCGATTGTCATAGCGGTAGCACCGAATTGATAAGACGGCTCGATCAAATTTGCTTCTCACATCTTTCTATTTTAAGACAAATGATTTTAGATCAATAGATCGCTTGGCCTGAGTCTCTGTGATTCAGTGAAATGTAACAGTGCATTAGCGGCCGAGGTTTCTCCGCGTCCCTGGTGGAATTTGATTAATTACTTCTGGCCTTTTCGTCTTCATCCATTTGCCTCGTTTCCGATGATTTTTAAGATCTCCATTATCATTTAATCTTTGCTACATATAACTGTTTTTTCTTCTAAGAGCTATGAATAATTACTCATTGAAGAAAACAGTCAGTTGTCATTTTTCACAGACAAGTAACTTACTACACTACTTTAGTAGCTAAAACAAAGAAATAAAGAAGGAGAAAAAAGGCTAAGACGCATCAAAGCCGTGCAACCACACAACAGATACTGTAGCTGCATTTAAGGGAACAAGCTGTCGATTGTTAAAGTATCGACTCTTTGTGGTATAAAATAGTGTCCTTTTGTCCACGGTGAGGGGCATTGCATGGTAGACAGGAGCAGTGTGTGCCGGCCCCAAAGCCCGTGGACTTTGTGGGCCTTCGCTGTACCGGATGTATCAGGATCTATCATTATTCCCAAATGAAAGGATGCAGGTCTGACGTACAGACGGCCTTGTACACCGACGCCTCACAACAACTGTGGTTGCTTCCAGCGAGTTCCCCGTCTGCTCAGTTTACGGCAGCACTTCCGAAAGGCTTTGGGCCCGACTGCCGCCCTCCCTGCTGCGGGGCTGCCTGAAGTTGCAGCGCTACCTCTGCTCACGAACGCAGTTCTCGCCGCGATTCTGGTCGTAAACTGAACTGGACAAGAACCGAATCCCATTTCCCCGTAAGTTCAGCAGTGAACCTGAGCGTTGGATTTGATTCAGTTTTCGTCCAACTCAGTTTGCGGCCAGAACTGTGGGAAGAATCAAGTTCGTGAACCAGGCACCACTGTAACTTGTATGGATTCAGACTTAAGCTGCTGTTTTCACCTCTAAACTGGAATTTAGTAAAGTAGGTATTCTCCCTGTCTCTCTCACTGTCTCTCTCTCTCTCCTTTTTGTTACAGTTATTAAAAAAGAAAGGAACTTCTAGCTTTCTTCAAAGACTGGAACGGGGAGATCCAGGGACCATCGCAGCTCAGCTCAGGGTGAGTAACACTCTCAGATCCACGACTTGAGTGTGTTTCTGCGCACAGTGGGGCAGCGGGAGGGCCTGAGTGTGTTTGGCGCACATGGAGGACGGGGCGTGAGTGTGTTTCCACGCACATAGAGGGGGGCCGGAATGTGCGTCTGCGCACCATCGAGGGGGTTTCATAGAGTCCTGCCCCCCGCCCCTGACCGCCTGAGCACCCTCAGGAGAAGTGCACCCGCACAGCGCGTGGGCTCCGCGCACCGCCGAGCCGAGGGCCGCAGCTCCCCGTGTCCTCCGAGCTCCGGGCCGCCCGGCCAGCGTGGCGCGGCCGCAGCTCAGCGGCTCCTCCTCTCTCCGCAGAAGTCCCTGGCGGACCTCACCGGCAGGCTGCAGCGGTGCGCGCCCCACTTTGTGCACTGCATCAAGCCCAACAATGCGCAGCTGCCCGACGCCTTCGACCACTTCTACGTGTCCGCGCAGCTGCAGTACCTGGGGGTGCTGGAGCTGGTGAAGGTCTTCCGCCACGGCCACCCCGTCCGCCTCTCCTTCTCCGACTTCCTGTCCAGGTACCCCGCTGCCCGGGCCTTGCTGTGTCCCGGGGCTGCTGCTTTCGGGCGGCGTCGCGCCTTGCTGTGGTCCTCCTCCGAGGCTCCTGCGCACAGCGGCGAGCGCCGCCAGAACTTCCGTGGGCGGTTCTAAGTTCTACGGGAGAGAGGATGTTGGGGCGTTCTCATGCTCCGGTCAGCGCGTGATGCTTTTGAATTCACGGGGGAGGTGGGGCGGGGGAGACGCGGGGCAGAGGGCGGGAGGGGAAGAGAGGATCAAGATGCGGTACTGCAGGAAAGAAAAGTGGGTGTCGGTACTTCAGTACTGAATGTTTCGAGACAGCGTGAGAGTAATACAACGACCTCTTGCCTCTGCGTTGCACAAGGAGCTCAGAGCGGTGGCCCTGAGCTTCCAGGCGGTTATCAGTACGGCGGACTCCTGCTCGGTTTCCTCAGTCGCTGAGACGCTGCACGTGCATTTTCCGTTTCTTCTCTAAGGGCCGGCAGTGTAGTGGCTTTTCCGAGATACGTCCTCTAGGATCCCCTATCTTAGGGTAACACCACCTGTTGAGAAAACATCATGCTAGTTTTCTTTTCTTGAAGTGTATATACATTTTCTGGTGCTATCTGTCTGTCTGTCTGTCTGTCTGTCTATCTATCCACCAATGTCCCAAAGTGAGTATATTCATTATGTATTGCAAACATATACTAATATAATATTAAAACAACAAAAAGAAGGAAAGGAGGTAGATGATGGGAGGAAGGAAGGAAAGGAAGGAAAGGAAAGGAAAAGGAAAGGAAAAGAAAAAAGGAAGAGCTAGGCATCTTGGCATATACTTGGAATGCTAGCACTCTGGGAGGCTGAGGCAAGAAGGTCGAAGCCCAGCCTGAGAAAATTAGCATCTTAGGGAGACCCTGTCTCAAAACTGAAAAGATTAAAAGAGCTCGGATGGAAGTTAAAAGGGCTCAGGGGAAAGGTGCTGGCTTCCATCCCCAGTTCTAGAGGGAAGAGGAAGGAGGAGAAAGAGGAGGAGAAAGAGGAAGGAGGAGGAGGAAGAGGAGGAGGGAGAGGAAGGAGGAGGAGGAAGAGGAAGTCTCCCCCTGCCCTTGGCAGTTAACCATTCCCCCCAATCCAGCCCTCGCCCTCACCAACCGCATGCTGTCACTATGGATGTGTGACTTTTGGAACTTCTAAGACGTGGAATCAAGTAAAAATAATCAACAGAAAAGGTTTATGAAATCATGACATACAAGGTCTACATAACATTTATTATTTAAAAGAAGAATGTATGTATGAGGTTGTTTCCTCTTTCACAACTATGAACAAAATGTGGTTTAGGTCAGGGGTGAGCGCGCCCTCCTGGGTCAGGCCCCGCCACCCCCGGCTTCCCTAAAGTCTCTGGAACAGCAGCAGCAGCAGCAGCTCTTTACCTTTGGCTTGTGGCCATTTGCCCTGGAGCGGTAACAGGGACTGCAGCCATGGTGCAAAATCTATTATTCATTACTTGGCCCTTCGGAGAAGTCAGTCTGGTGACCTTTAGATAAATTCATCTCAAAAACACGTGGCACACCTTGAGCTGTGCCCTGGAGACGCTCAGGAAGGCCTCCTTCCCTCAGACCTGTGAGCCCCTCCGCACAATGGCCACATGGAGCCCCCGGCAGTCCCCCAAAGCAACATCAGCCTTCCAGGCTGTGCACCTGTTCACATGTATCTTCATGTCATCAGCACCCTTAGCTTGATTTTAACCCAGTGGATCAGGCACAAGAAGGAATGCATTTTAAAGAAATTAGTTAATGAGTACTAACTGGGTTTACAGATGCATACCAACGGCCACTGTTCCAGTCCAGGCACTTGGTGCCCTGGGGCTGGACACCCTCAGCTCGGGAAGTCCCAGGTCTGCAGACAGAGACAGGCGCGTTTCCAGCGACACTCTCTCGGAGCTATTAGTGACTGGATGGGTTCTGGGTGTCCCAGAAGCCCCACCAGGGGGCTGTTTGGAATTAGAGACAATTCTCGAGTGAAACTAGTGTTAATCTCAGGGAAAATGATAATAATGATGTTTGTAGGCATTTGAAAAATAAAGGGGGTGAACAAAAAGAAAACTAGAAAGTACTTTTTAGTCCTAAATAAACTAAGATAAAATTTTAAAATAATACTGCTGTAAAATAATATCAGTATTACAAGTGTAAAAGTTTGCGTTTATTCTACAGATGCACTATACAGCTTGGTGTGACAAACCAGTGACCTAAAAACAATTTTAAGCTTTTGCTGATGAATTCACTGTGAACTACTAATTGTAGAAGCTACTAAGTGAAACACCAACAAGAAAAACCCTAAAATTTCTAAATTAAAATACATGGTTCAGGACCGTGGAGATAATACGTAAGCTATGACTAAAGTTCAATGTTCAACATTCGTTTTTCCAGAAGAACATAGTAGCATTTGCACATTGTACATTTTGGTAAATTTTCCAAAGATAAACCAAAGAAAATAAACATCATTCTGGGTTTGCGGGAGCTGTGCATTGTATAGGGCTGAGAGAATATCTTCACAAAACAGAAGACGTATCCCGCCTCATGGGAAGCAGACAGATTTATCCTACAGAGCACGCGTCTCAGATAGGCAAGATATTTGTTTTTAAAATCTTAAAAGATGCTTATAGATGAGGTAATGGACACTGTATCTCTTTCTTTGAGGGAATTACGGCAAAGTTTGGTGTTACATGGGAATAAGTTATGTGTTTGAGATGGGGCTGGACTTTTAACTCACTGTGTGGCCCATGTTGGCCTTTAATTTGTAATCTTCCTGCCTCAGCCTCCCAGATTGCTGAGATTACAGGTGTGCACCACCATATCCAATTGTGGGTTTTTATTTTATTTTGCTTGTTTTGTTCTTTTTGGATAGGAGTTGGGACCATATGACACTGATTATTATACACTAAGGGTTCTTCCTTTGGTTTTTCTTCTCTGGGTGGATCCATTCATTGTCTTCAGGGGTGTCTACTTGCTAATGAATGTATATTTAGGGTTTGCTTATTAAAGGTCAGCCCTCCCACCGCATTAAATACAAGTGGTTTTGGGGTTAATGAGTTTTAAACCTGCCCCTATGTAAGGGTAAAAAATAGGAGAGTTCTAGACTCCCTGAGGGCTTTCTGAACGGGAATCAAGATGCGGTGTGATTCAAAGGCCTTCGTGCAATTCGGGAAACGAGCTCATCCGACAGCAGCGAGGGTCCCAGGTGTCATGGGCAGCGATCAGTTGTGAGGTGGTCAGTGGGGCCAACTCCCACCCCAAGCACCGTCTGGAACAACAACTCTTAACACTGTGCGTTTCAGAATCCCCGGAGAGCTGTTAAAAGGGCTTCCTGGGTGTGACACCCTCACACACAGGAGGTGGAGGTGAGGCCTATGCATCGGCATTTCTAACACGCTTCCCTGCAATGCTGAAGCTCCCAGCAAGTGGACAACGCTTTGGGAATCTTGGCATGGTCGCTTGGGAAACAAAGTTTTTGCTGTGTTCTGTTTCTCCCCAGCCAAATACTGAACGAATGCCAAGGCCTCAACAACCGAAGCGAGTGCGTGGGGGATGTGAAATCCTGGGCCACCTCAGTTGACTGAATCCAGATATGCAAATTTGCCATGATTCCTAAGTGACCTTTCTGTACTTGCAGTTTCAGAAGCACAGCTAATGAATTCCTGTACTGGATATGAAATAGGATCTGTCTCTCTTTAGCAGCAATAAAAAGGTGCATTTTCTTCTGTTGATTTTATGAGAGTGTCTTGGATCGTGGCATCAAGCTATGCATTAAAGGTCCTCGGTGGGTGACTAGTTAGTGCAGCCCTTGGTACCACATGGGTCTTCCTAGCTAGGGAAGGCAACAGGGGCAGGGGACGGAAATCTTCCACCGCCACAAGACAGGGCAGGGATCATGGCTGTGTGTGTGTGTGTAATGTTATTTATCATAATGATTAGAAAATCATTGATCATTGCCTTTTGCACTGGCATATCCACTCCATCAGGACTAATCTGAATTAAGTGGTATATGCAGTTACTATCTTTTGAGAGTAAGTGCAGATTTTGTCCACACACATCTCTTAATAGACTGGATTCATGCGGGCAAGGGCAAACCTTACTTCATCACAAGGCTTGTGCATTGTTGGTGTTCAGTAAATATCCTCAGAAGGAGCAGGCACTGGAGATTAATTGCTGTTCAATTTTAATTCTATTTCTGCAGAGACAAGTTTTTAAAAGCATATTGGCTTTAAAAAAAAAAAAAAAAGAGTAGTGGGTATGGGAAAGGCTACCTTTGAGGAAATCTTCGTGTTTCCTTCCGCAGACCGTTAGTTAAAAGGGGAGGTGATTTCCTCGTATCTTGATTGCAGTGGCAGATGCATAGTAAAAGGATTACTGACTTGCTGCAGTGCGGTGGCCGTCGGGGGATCTACTTCTGTAGCACTGGAATAAATGCATTCAGCACCCTGTTCCAGGACGGCATGTCATGGTTCAGTATCTCTCCAGTACTTTGCAGTGCCCCCAGCAGGGAAGCATTGTTACAGGGCTAAAGCTTAGAGGTGGAAGGAATGGAAATTGTTCCAGTAACAGAACCTGGCATCCCTGGGCACGGCATACTTCCTCATATTCCACTGCCTAAAACTCTACCACCTTGTCTTAACTGTGAGAGAATAGAAATTTGTCAGACAGATGACTCCAAGTATGCAAAAAAGGAATGTGGTTACTGCAAACATTTTGGATATAAGAAAAAGAGAGGGAGAGCCCAGCTTTGTGGTTTGGAAGTAAACAACTTCCTATCTGAACAGCTTTTAGTCTTTCTGGAGTCCAGCATGACTACAGAGTGACAGACGCACCTAGTCTCCCTCCTGGGAGTCTGAGCGCTATGGTGCTGACTTCATGGCCTTTCTTGAGACCCATCGTCCAGATCCACCCAGTTGCCGCTGGGTGATTTGCCTTCCTGGAGAGTAATCGCTTTTCTGGAGAAATTCCTCTTCTGACGCCCTGGGCAG